TTAGTAGGTACAAACTTAGGTTTCAAGCACTTTACACAAAAGTCATAAACAAACTCTTTACATTCTTCACACTCCATATATAGACTAACATATTTAACTACATAGACACGTGATGCGGGTAATAACGGCACGAATCGAGGAATTCACTTTAGACGGGTAATCCTCCGTTGGTCACTGTTTTGGAACCCCCATCCCCTATACTACTAAATAGTAATAATTGTACGGTTTTTACAAGTACTCTAAGAGAAGCAATATGCTGCTATATTCATCCTCTTGACAGTTTATATCGAGTTGAGAGAGAGCAGAAAGAGAGCCAGGTGATCTTGGGGAACGCGTGCAAAGGATTGTTGTAGTTGATCAGACGGTCCTAAGTTTCAGTTGTTTATCGGCGAACAAAGATGTATCATTTCACGATAATTTCATTTTAAAAAAATTGAAAACACAATGCCCCATTTGTAAGTATAGGTAAAATTCTAAATGCATTGCTAGTCCATAACGTAGCTAGGAAAGCAAGGTGTCAGAGTTATTTTCTCTGACTGCGGCCGCCATAGTTCCCACAGCCAATTGGCTGGTTTTTGATGGGCTGTCAAAACGAGATCACCTGGGAGCCTGCTTTGTTTAAACCAACGGTTCCCATGGTCAGCCGAAGTCACTGGAGAGTGAAGTTCAATCCAAGACGTCGAGTTGGAAATAAGATTCGTCGAATATGTACTGTGAAACTCGTACGACAAATTCATGGCGTGGAGTTTAGAATGAATCAGTGACAAATTCGAATATAAATATCAATGACAAATAAAAGACACTTATGTTTAAACCTTGATGAAGCATGTAAAATACAGCAATATGAAATAATCTACTAGAGTGTAAAATTCATGTGATGAACTTCAAATTGAAACCATGCATTTTGGCGGGGATGGTACGCCATATTCCTTACTTTTTTTACTTGCGTGACCAGAAATAACCAACCAAAGCCAAACCTAATACTACAAGCCCAATACCGAGGTTTTTGGCTTGGTCACTACTTTCTTCTCCGTAGCGGCACCAGCGAGCGAAATGCTCACAGTTGTTAGACAGTATGCTGTAAAATATACTCCTGCCGACTTGCGACTTAGCTCTCATGATGATTTTCTCGACGGGAAGCGGTGGTTTGCCTTTCCAAGAACCGTCTTCAACTCTTACTTCATTCCCTTGTTTCTTAAAATGACTGTACTTTTCTTTCTTTATCTTTGCCATTTTTGAGCTTGTACATATACAACTGCCCACAGGCTCGTCTGACACGGAAGTTGCATGTATGATGTAGCCGTCACCCACATTCACCGCATAGTGTCTATATAAACCCTTCTCTCTTATGAATACCACTAAATCTCCTGGTTTTCCTGGACAAGAATCTTCACTCATCTTTAAGATTTTGAGGGAGGTTGTTTAACGCCGCTAATGGAATAGAGTCATCGATGCAGACTTCTTTCAAACTTTTGTACCATCTGTTCCTAGAAACAGAAGCAATAGAATAATTTGCATAGGAAAGCCCCTAGTCTCCTACGCAGCTGTCATAGTGTCGTCACGCAACGCTCACTCCCCTAGTTAGTAGCTAGGTAGGGCAGTTAGCGTGGCGTGACAACGCTAATAGCAGCTGCATAGGAGACTAGAAAGCCCCTTATTAAAGTTAAATCGTTTAGGGAAATATACCGTTTAACTATTCGGGGAATCCCTAGAATCGGGCATTTAATTTTTGGAATTCATCTTGTCTGATTTGGTTGGGTAAGCACGCACGAGAAGGGAATATATGGAGATAATGAGTTGACGAAACCATAAATTAAGTCTAGCAGTAATAAATTAGTTTTGACGGACGTCATAGTGAGTTAGGGCAATTCATCTGGTTGTCTGATTTGCTTGGACAAGCAAGCACGAGAAGGGAATATATGGAGATAATGAGTTGCGAAACCAGAAATAAATTATGCATTCGGTGTGTGTAATGAAGTAGAGAGAATATTTTTCTCTTATTCTCTCTACCCATAAATTAAGTCAATAAGTTACTGGATTTTTTCTTGTTAAATTTGGATTTTGATGTATGTACTCAACATTATTTTTGCCGTACGTTTCTAAAATTCCTTCATCAGTGTCCTAGCATAAAGTAGCAACTTCTTCATGCTTTTCGTCCGTGTCGTACATGTAGTACCATCTAGAAGTAGCATTGACATCCAAGCATTTATTACTTGGACTTTCTCATTTTTCTTCATTTTGCGCTTGAGCAAATTCAGCATCTTTTAAAAAGCTCCTAGACTGAAACCTTCAGTTTTTCAAGCATACCACTTTCTTGCATTTCTTTCCAGTTATAGTCTTCGTATGCTATTAATGACTCTGCTTCCTTGTTTTTCTTCGTTTCATTTGCTCTCTTAACATCTCGTTCGGTTGAGAAATCCTTATGTACATCATCATGGCTTGAAATATGATACTCTATTTTATAATGCCCCTCCCCCTCTTAGATGTTCAATTTCATAGACAGCCAACCCCTTTCAAGGAGTTCAAAATTATATATGTGACCCAGCCCCGGGAAGAGTAGCAGATTAACCAATAAACAAAGAGACTACACGAAAGTTTGTGATTTTACTCAAGCATGTTTGAGCAAGTCTTTAGTAGTGCAAGTAAAAGAAAAATCTGAATCTGACTCTATAAGCTATACAAACTATGTGAACAATGTGACAAACAATGCATTGCGCTCCTAGATTTCAAATCACTTGCTTAGTGGCGTAGCTCACTTTTTATTCTCGACTTTCACATCCCCATAATCCTTTGCTTCTTTGGGGGGTAACCAGAGAGTAAAAACCCACTTATTTTGCTGAAGGCTGATCAGACAATATTGAAAGTGCCTTGTTTGGTATCTAAAGATAAAATGAAGAAATAAAAAACAGAAAAAGATAGAAGCTTGAAGACGTTTAAGCTTAATTTTAAACATTTTTTCGTAAGTCAATACATTTACTGTAAGACCAAAACTCTTGATGATCTGTACACACAAAAACAACTTGGAATAAACTGATAATCAGTATTGTACAGATAAAAGCAGGTATAGTATAAATTGAATTAAGAAACCTTTCAATTTGGGACAGTTTTTTGATTGGTTACCCCCCAAAAACGCAAGGCATTATGGGGATGTGAAAGTCGAGAACATGCTTAATTTTTCCGGCTTTATAAGTACTCTTTAAATTGTTTCTATTAAAATTAAATTTTTCATTCACGCTCCATTTCCATTAGGACGCGGTTACGCTATCAATAAATGAGTTTTATCAAGGCGCATGAATTCGCACTATGCTGTCAAATATCCCGAATAGCTCCTCCAAAAATTCTTGCTATTCGTGGAATGATTTACTTTCTCTAGAAAAAAAGAAACAAAAACGACAAGAAAATAATCTTTAAAACTAGGAGCTCTTCTGAATTCCATCGTTTTGGGTAATATTCAATACCAAGTCTCCAGAACGTATGGTCACTGACTAGTACTGCTTGCGTGTCTTGTCTTCCTCTTACCCGCTATCACATCAGCAGCTATCGCACCAAAAGCACCAAACGCCGCTACGCCCCGAATAAGACCATCAACTTGGTCACTACTTTCTTCTCCGTAGCGGCACCAGCGAGCGAAATGCTCACAGTTGTTAAACAGTACGCTGTAATCTCTCACGCCGATTTTCGACTGAGCTCTCTCGATGATTTCCTCGACGGGAAGCGGTGGTTTGTCATTCCAAGAACCGTCTTCAACTCTTACTTTATCCCCTTGTTGCTTAAAATGGCTGTACTTTTCTTTCTTTATCATTGCTATGTTTGAGCTTGTAGAACAACAGCCCAACACATCGAAGCTACCCACACGCTCGTCTGACACGGAAGTTGCATGTATGATGTAGCCGTCACCCACATTCACCGCATAGTGTCTATATGCACCCTTCTTTCTTATGAATACCACTAAATCTCCTGGTTTTCCTGGACAAAAATCTTCACTCATCTTTAAGATCTTAAGAGAGGTCGTTAATACTTATAGACGTCTTCCAAAACTGTTACAGTCTGTTCTTAGAAGCAGAAGAAGCCTACGGTACAACACAACCGTGGGTAATCCCCCAGGATAATTTGCATAGGAAACCCCCTTAGCTTATCAATTTTATACAGTTTAGGGAAATATACCGTTTTATTATTCTGGGAATCCCTAGAATCGGGCATGTGATTCTTGGAATTCATCTTGTTGTCTGACTTGCTTGGGCAAGCAAGCACGATAAGGGAATATATGCAGGAGATAATGAGTTGCGAAACCAAGTTACTGTTTTTTTTCCTTTTTGTTAAATGTTGTATTTACTGTAGTTTCAGCTCAAAACGTTGACTATAGGAGAAATGGCATTAAATATAAAATCAAATATCTTATAGGAATTTGTATGATATCGATTTGTATAGGAAATGAAAGTTTGAGAGCTTTCAAAACATCAAGAGTATCTATAAATTCCGAATTGTACGAGAAGATTTTGTGCGATTTTTTGTTTATAATACACTCAAAAAAATTGAGCAACTTAATTGGGACTCTACAGAGTACAATTTGGGATTTAATTATACTCCTCTTGTCCAATCAGAATCGAGTAAGTTCGTTGAGTGTATTATAAGTATGGGAAGCCATTACTCTGAAATCCCCATACAAATCTTCATAAAACATTGGATTCTATATTTAATTCAATTTCTGGCGTTTTGTTTATTATGAGCTTAAACTCCGCTTCCTTACTAATGTCGATTTGTGCAGCTCGGCTAGTTTTAAGGGAGTTAGGGTCACGTGACCTGTTAGTGTAGGGCCGGATTTGGGGTCAAATCACACTGGAAATAAAATCCCGGCGCCAAGTCACAGATACGACAATTTTTTATTATGGCATCCTTTTTTGTGATTTACCACAAGGAGCGTTTCCTTATTTATAATATTTTTTTATCATTTTATTATTATTATTTTTTTTTTTGCTCTTACACGATTGAAAAACAAAACCCGGCGCTTAAGTCGTTGGTATTACAACCGACTGCCACCAGAAATTCATATTTAATTCATATGTTTCAGTGCTGCCACACATCACTGGTTTCTTTTTTCGAACTTACAAAATTAAATGAAAAGTTCAAACGTTTTTCAATGCCTAACCTATCCATAATAATAGTCATGAGACAGAAAGAAATCATCACAGTAGACTTGGGTTCAATCACACTCGGGCCATTATTGACGCCTGTTCCTTTGCTTTCTTTTTTTCTCGGCTTCTGAATCGCTTGACAAGCAATAAGCACCCAAACCCAAACCCAAAAGGACTGCGCCTGCAGCTACTCCAAGCCCAATACCGAAGTTTATGGCTTGGTCACTCGTTTCTTCTCCGTAGCGGCACCAGCGAGCGAAATGCTCACAATTCTTGAACAGCAAGTTGTAGCCCCTTCGACCAACTCTTGACAAGGCTCGGCGAACTATTTCAAACCTTTGAAGGGCTGTTTTACCTTTCCAGTCATCTTCTACTGTTACTCTGTCTCCTGACTTTTTAAACAGTATATAAGGTTCCCTTTTAACAACAGCGTTTCCTTCCTGAGTCGAAGAGCAACAATCAATGCTTAAACCGCGGACAAAACCAGTCAAGTCATTGTCTAAGTCTGAAGTTAGGTGTACAATTTCGCCATCTCCTATATTCACAGCGTAGTGTTTGTAGATTGACCTTTTGAAAACCAGCAAATCTCCTGTATTACCTGGGCAGTAATATGCGTCCATTCCGTTTAACGACTACGCTATAAACAAAAATTCGCTGTTCCTGAAAGCGGGTCTGGAGCGCATCTTGAAGACTGGAATCGTGTACACGTTTTTTCCGAGAATTTGGTACGGTGCCCCTGCATTCACGGGACAAACCCCTCGGATCAACCGAGCCCACGTTTCCGGCGGAAATCGTCTGGAAAGCTATGCATGTTTTTTTTTCGAATTTTTGATTGAAATCTTTGAACTTGTTTGGATTATGTTGTTGCTAAGTATTTATTTCTTTACTCATTTGTTAGCAGGGGTCTTACTTGGTGTTGCAAGATATATTGTATTCTTGGTTAGGGTTTTTGTATTGTGGGGTATTGTTTAGCTTCAAACTCATTGTTCTTGGCTATTGTTTTATTGTCTTCATGGCTCAGGTGCCCTGTATCACCAAGAAAGAGCTGTTAGTGATTACTTGGAATTGTTCCCCCAATCCTTCAGCATATATGTGTATGTTTTTTTTTGTCGTTTTTTAGAATTGTAGCTGTCGTTAGGGTCTGTCACTCAGCTAGACCAGCTGAAAAACTGAGCAAATATGTTGCAAAATGCAAATATTTTTTATTGAAATTTTTAAACTCTATTGAATGAATTATTTTGCTAGTTTTAAAGTGCATATGAACCCTTCGACAATACTTTCAGTACTGATTCTACATGAAGTAAATAGTTGATTGGTAARATATTTCTTGATTTGAGTGATGCGTCTCTACGTTATGAAGGTTTATACTTCCAATATGCTAATGAGTGTGACGTCTATTAAGGCTTAATTAAATATACAAAATCGAACTGGTTCGTAGATACAGTATTTAAAAAGCATCATTATTTTACACAAGGTTTACATGAAAGCTATTCAAAATTTTTATTTTCAAAATGGCCAGCATTTAGTATTACTAGTTACAACAAAAACACTCAATTACCTTACCTGACGTCATCATCATTAACATATTGGAAGTATAAACCTTYATAACTTAGAGACRCATCACTCAAATCAAGAAATATTTTACCAATCAACTATTTACTTTATGTAGAATCAGTACTGAATGTATTGTCAAAGGGTTCATGTGCACTTTAATGAAAAACATTTATTTCCTTCCAGTTCTTTACTTCATTTGTTCCTTCTTTCATTTTATCACTTCAAACATCCATTTTGTTCTCTTCCTTTATCTTCCTGTTTTTTAAATCCAAGTTCCAGGTATTTTTCCCTGCTAGCAGAGCTTCTCTCCTCTTTCTCTCCCTTCTTTTAGGCCAAGAGGAGGGAGACTCTGCCGATGTAGAGCGTATCCTTTGATACACCGCCGTCCACGGTTGTGGACAAACGAAACCAGTTTTAAACCAGTTTTAAACTGGTTTTTAACAGGGGTACATGTGCGCATGAGCCAATATAAATATATCGTGGTATCAGATATTGTTTGAGTGGCTGTCAAAATCATGACAGCGTTGCTAAGTTACGCCACACAGGTGCAACAAGTATAACATCCTACATCAGCTGAGTCTATTTTTCTCATTCCACCGAAATAAAAGGAAAATAGGCTCTGCTAGTAGGGAACAGGTATTTTAAAACAAGTTAAAAAATCATTTTAGCCAAAAAAAAMCTTACAGTGAGTACACAGAAATCTGAAAAAAACTCAAAGTGTTTACGGTTGGAGTGTCCCCATTGTAGCATTTTTATTTATTTATTTCCTGTGATTTACACTTTTCTTCCATTTTTTAATTTTTTAATTTTTGTTTTGTTTTGTTTTGTTTTTGTTTCCCTTATTTCAATTTTATCATAACATTAACTAACTCCTTAAGGTTTTATGATTGCAGTATTGCACATTGCACTATTTTTATAGTGCAATGTTGAAAGCTCCTAGGTTCTTGAACCAGCTGAATCCAATAAAGATTTTCTCTTCGCTGTCTCTTTTGTTACACTTTGATGTAGTCTGCCAAGTCGTTCCTGTACAATCACACACACACATTAGAGCATATCAACTGTACATGGACTTTAAAATTAAACAGACACTGTCCTTTTAATCATTCTGGACCTAACACTGCCATTGCTGGTCATTATTAATATGATTCCATAAAACCTTTGTACAATAAAGGCTAAGGTTGTATGACAACAGCCATGTTGGATGATGGGAACAAAAAAATCCTTCCAATTTATTGATACTCTGAAACAACCTTGGGACACAAGTTACATTTGTATCTCACACATGGAACTGGAATTTAACTAGATCTGGTTTTGAGCAGTGAGAAAAACCAAAGAATCAAAAGAAAAAACTTGAATCAAGAGAGAGGTCCTATAATGGAACAAACTCTAGTCCAGGAAATGAATCTGAGACCTCAGAGGTGAGGGACAATCAACTGCATGCTCAAGGGCAGATCCAGACAAAATTTTAGGGGGGGGGCTAATTGAGTTTAGGGGGGGGGGGGCTAATTGAGTTTCTTCCGTCAACACAATGGAAAACAATAAAAAAAGCATCTCATTCTTCATTTTTGTTTTGYTTTTTATCTGCTGAAGGGGGGCTTCAGCCCCTTTTTGCCCCCCCCCCCTGGATCCACCCTTGCTGCTACTCAACCTTGATTACCAACATACAATCATTTTATATGTGAAAGAATACAATTTCCTAGAGTAAAGGTTGTAACATGGCTGCCCACACATGATCATGCAAAACATCTGTACCTGAGCATTCTGTAAAATGTTATTAACCAGCATTATTCTTCTTCTTGAATTCATCAGCTTTTTTACATAAGGTTCAAGGTCTAAAGGCATTTCTTGTAACTCCTGGAGTCTGTGAAGATCTAAAGAAAGTAAAATAACATTGACGTCCAGTCCAACATCTTTTCCTTGACCGTGAGCATACATTTGCAAAGTTACTTAGACTGTAAACCAGCTCTCTAAGGGAGGGAGGGTGGGTTTATTTTTCATTATACTTTAGTCCCCCCTCCTTCCTCCACCACTACAACTACCATTATCATTCTTTCTTGGGGAAGGAGGGGGGCACCACCACCATCACTACCATTCTTTCTTGGGGGAGGGGGAGGGGCATTGGGGAAGGGGTTCAGAATAGTGAAAGTAATAGCTAACGATCACCATATTCCTATCAATTTTATATTCCCCGTTAGTTTTTTTACAACCTTAAAAAGAAAACTCACAAAACATGTATTCATGAATGTAAGTTATATACCTTCGGTAAGAGTATCAATCTGTGTTCTTAGTTCCACTTGACTTTGCCTGGGAAAGAGGAAAAAAGCAGTACAAAACTTTAGCTACTAAGCTAGCTACAGTGTAGGTCCTCTTGCTCTAAAAGAGGTACCGATCAATTAAATATAGACGTAGAAAAAGATGGATTTTTCCCGGACAATATTAAATTTCCACGATCATCTCACCTCACAGTATGAACTTTACTGTCTAGTTCTTCTATTGCTGGTTGAAATAAATGTAGAAGTCCTTCGGCCAATGCTTCATGGCTGCTTCCATCTGGAGGGGAAATGATCGTCGAGTCGTCCGCCATCTTGGAAAACACGACAAAACTCTCCTCACCGGGTAGAGGGTAAGTAATTTTTTTACTTGCTTTTTTCGTGCCTCATTTCCCCACCGGGAGAGGGAAGATTTTGTATACAAAATATATACAAATTTAACCCCCTCCCCCTCAGAAAATAAAATGTGATCAAAGTTCAAAGTCTTAGCGTGTTGTCAATATGGCGGCTGTTGTTCATCTTCGGCGGATTTTGAGCCCCAAATTCGCGGTAAGAATAAATGATTTCATTCCTTTTTATGAAGAAATAATTAATTTAGAGTATTCCTTAAGTATTTTGTGAAAGAAAAGTATGGCTGCTTTGAAGAATATAACACTTAGCTTGAAAATTGTCTTGCTCTGCAAAGGTTACACTCCTCCAAAAGTCTTTTTTCCATTCTCTTTCATTTCTCTTGTCTTTAGGAGTTTAGAGAGCCTTTATTGAGATCGATAAGGCTCTAAGAATTCCTTTTTTGGTCAGTRCCGTTTGTCTTTTCAAATTCAGTAAGTTTAATATCGGTTTAATAATCCTTTCAACTTTTGATAAACTTCATATTTGTTTTCGTGACCAAATTATTGCATAACAGTGTAAACTGTTAAGGTATATGGGTAAAGAGTAATCACATTTTGTATCATAAGGGAAGTAAAATATTTCCAAAATTAAATATTGAAATTTGATTCAGATGTAATTTCAGATTAAATATATATAATTGCACAAGCAACAGTACAGCAATACAAATGCATGCTTACATGCACTGATATTTTTTGGTCTACTTTTTGCTCTTCAAAAAGAATATTTTTAGTCCTTTGACTATGGAGCAGCAGAATGCATGTCAGAAGGTCTGAGTGGGGGGGNACTCATCCAGTCCTATCAATAGGCAAAATGTAAGCCGAATCGATTTTTTGGCCGTGTCCGCGAATTTTCAAATTTTGTTTGATTTTTACTGACATTCACTCATAATACGTTATTCAAACTTTCTTCCATATTGTTAAAGGGCAGCCACACCAACCCAGAACTGCGGGGCTCAAGTATACTTGACTGTTTTATATACACAAAACAACAAAAGGCTCTATCGAATTGTTTTGAAAGCAAGAGAGCAGTTGAGATCCATTATTCAAAAACTAAGTTAGATTTACAAATAAACGGTCTAACTAAATATTTTATTTTCAATAACATAGGCAGGCAGGGAGGGAGGGAAGGAGGGAGGGAGGTAGACAGCCAGGGAGGGAGGGAGGAAAACAGAGAACAGAAAGCAAACTCAACAAAATCTGCTAACATGTGATGCCAAGTCCAGGAATCAAACCTGAGACCCTAGCCTGCTAAGCAAATGCTCTTAAACTAGGTTGTCATGTAACATGAAAAACATTGCATGCATTACATGATGACCCAAAGAATAATAGAGACCTTTAGATCCGATGGCGAGTAAGAGAAGGAGTACGAGTATGAGTTTCTAACTTTTCAAGATTGGCACTGTCATTTTGTATTCCTGGTCCTGTATGTAGATTGAAGCTTTAAATTGTAAAAAATCGGAAATCCAATATGATTTAGTGTTAACCACGCGCACAGGACCAATTTTAAAACTCGTACTCGTACTCTATCTCGTACCCGTTGTCGGTTCTAAAGGTCGCTAATGTCTGCATAGGAACCTACTGAGACTCCAGAGGTGTGAGGCAAATGCCCTACAACTACTACACCTTTTATCCCAGCACCTGTTTACAATGTTAACGAATTGATTCTGTTTTTCTTTACAGAGGGTATTTTGTCCCTCAAGACTTACCAATGTTTTGAATGTAAGTACGACTGTTTATTAGGCCATTTGCACCATAGCATCACTTTCCTACAAGTACCACAATCCCTTGCACACTTTTTCTTTTCTCTTGAAAAAATACAGATTTGAATAAAAAGAAAATTTTGCAAAGCATTTTAGTAGTGGTCGTAAACTGTAGCGTGCCTCTATATGGAAAAAATACATGTATGTGATGCAGGCTAGTAAAATGATACTGTTAGAAAAACTGCCCATTGAACAAACAAGGTTTTTATGCCTTATTTGGTAACACTAGCCAGCTTCACATCGAAACTGTGCTGTAATGTCTTTGAAACAAACTCCTATTCTGAAATTTTTTGATACCAAATTATTTGATTATGTTTCAGACAAGAAACTGTTCATCATCCATTGCACATGAGGCATCGTCATTCAACTCAGGGCTTTGCTTTGGTAATGAAAGATTGATTGATTTGAATGAATGGAGAGAGAAGGATGGATGGATGGGTGGGTGGGTGGGTGGGTTAATGGATAGACGCATTAAAGATTGACTGGTTGATTGAAAAGATGGATGGATGGATGGACTAGATAAATATATGGATGGGATGGATTAATGGATGGGATGGATAGATATATGGATGGGATGGATAAATGGATGGGATGGATAAATGGATGGGATGGATAAATGGATGGGATGGATAAATTAATTGGTTGATATATTTTATGATTAGAAATGTCGGAGGAACTGAAAGCACTTCAAGACATGTCAAGAAAATTTGCAAGAGAGGAGATTGTCCCAGTTGCAGCCGAGCACGACAGGACAGGAGAAGTATGATCAGATACAGTAATACTAAAAGCGTCTAATCTACAACATCTTCTATTACTGGCTCTGCAAGAACAAGCCTCTCTCTATATAATCACATGCCAGGATGGATGTTAAATACTTGTGGTTATATTCTTTTCTTGGTAAAAGCCATCCTGACTTCTCTCTTAATTTCAAAATTACTTTTTAGTTTCCTTGGGATATCATCAAGAAAGCCCATGCTCTTGGACTGATCAATGGACATATTCCAGAATCCTGTGGTAAGTATCCTATACCATACTTACTGGGATAAAGTAGCTTGTGTCTTAATGATATGATTTTAGCTACATGTAATAAGAAAAGTGCTGAGACGGCACTACCATAATCACAGCATGTCAAGTCTCTTCCACAAGTTTTTTAGTTGTACAAAATTTGCTTATTTTATTTTATTATTTGATTATATATTGCATGAATAGAAATGGAGCTATGTAAATTGTAAATTACAATGGTTTTTTGTTATCATTAGGTGGTCCAGGCTTGGGTATTCTAGATGCCTGCGTTATCACAGAAGAATTAGCCTTTGGTTGTACAGGCATACAGACTGCTATTGAAGCCAACTCTCTTGCCGTAAGTACCTCCTTGTACCTCATAAAATGTTGCTAAAAAATCCAGTTTTATTCCTCAAGTTTTGAGTTTTTGTTATTATTATTATTATTWTTWTTTTATTCGTCAGGAAATGCCTGTGGTTATTGCTGGAAATAAAGAACAGCAAAAGAAATATCTGGGAAGAATGATGGATGATGTTCTTATGGCTGTATGTACACGATCTATTCTACTTATCTACCTTTTTACTACTCCTCTAGCTGTAACTACATAAGTTGTCATTTAGTTCTTTTGTTAGATAAGTTGTCTAACAGTATTGCAATGGTTAAGTCGCCATCCTCAACTGACCATTAAATAAAGTTTGGATAATATTATTAATAGACTTAGGGTATAAATAACTGCAAAATCCCTCTTTGGGACTTTGACAACTGGTCGCTAAATAGTAGTTGGGTGACTTATAAAAATAAATAATAAATTAATAGAAAAAATAAAATAATAAAGAATGAAAAAAATAAGATAAAAATAAAAAATAAAAATTAGTTATGCTGAAATTTTATCATTCATGTTTCATAAAGGCCTACTGTGTGACTGAACCTGGTGCAGGTTCTGACGTAGCAGGGATAAAAACCAGAGCAGAGAAAAAGGGAGATGAAGTAAGTAACACAGAAAAAGTGGATGAAAGTTTCAAAATTTGCTTTTCTTTTGGAAAAACCTATGGTTATGAAAATTTCCAATTTTTGATGAAAAAAATAGGTTGATCTCAGACAAAGTTTTCATTGGGAGGAGGGGGGGTGGAACAATCTATACTGTATGGTAAGATGAAAAATTAAGCTTACAGAATTTTTCATCGAAGAACTTATGGTCAAATCAAAATTTCCATTTAAATGTTTTCCCTCTTTCATGGCATAATGTGCAAGTTATTTGTATATTTTCAGTATGTCATAAATGGACAAAAGATGTGGATTACCAATGGAGGTGTTGCAAACTGGTAAGAAATAGATGGTTCACTGTGTTTGTAAATCGCTTTTCCTTTCAAGATATGTTTGGTTTTTGCATCTATCTGTCCACTTACCTGTATATCTGTCCATTTGTCCATCTGTCTGTGATTGCTTGTATGTCTGTCTGTATGTCTGTCTGCCTCTTTCTTTATATACTTTGTATTAGCAAGGACAGATCCAACAGCTTGTCTATCTGTCCAATGATCTGTCTGTTATTTTGTCTGTCTGTCTGTAACTCGGTTTATCTGACTTTCTATAGTCTAAATACATTGAGTTTTCTTTAGGTACTTTGTATTAGCAAGGACGGACCCAACAGCTAAAGCAGGTCAGGCATTCACTGGATTCATTGTTGAAGCAGATTCACCAGGAATAACTCGTGGACGCAAGGTAATTCAATAACTTGTTCTGTAATACTCCTTCAATATGAGCTATGCATCTTATGACACATGCATACAGAACTGTTTATCGGAGCCCAAGGTTTGCATATCATCCAGTTTGATTCTCTGATGTGGGGTTTTCCCTTGATTTGAGAGTTTCCTCCCAGAATGTTGGTTTTCCTCTCTCCACAAAACTTACCATACATGCTAAATTCTAATCGTATACATCAATTCCTCCATCATTTTGCCGGCCTGTCGGTCTTACAGTACATCTGTTTTTCCGTTTTTAGGAGTGGAACATGGGTCAACGTGCTTCAGACACACGGGGTATAACATTTGAAGATGTTGTTGTTCCAAAAGAGGTAAACTACCATATGCAGTTATTAGGCCACACTGCATACCTGAAATCAAAATTATACAAACTATCAAACAACCATCAAACAACCACCACAACAATGCCATATAACCACTACAACTCCATTGTGTATGTCAATCAACAGTGTTCTTACCAGGCCGTGCCATTGCGGGAATTGCGCATAAAAAACAGAAATGGCGCATAAAAAACAGAAATGGCGCACAAATTTCAACTCTATGCGCCCCCCAAGGGTGCATGAATTATCCAAAGAATACTTCCTGAGAATTTCAAAAGATTTATAGTACTTTTGAAATAATAAAAGTCGCATTATATTGTCAATAGACAAGGTGAAAGTCCACAAGGTCTGGGACTAGTCTATGTTAACTGACCTTGTTTATTGGAGGTTCAAGTATGGCTGCCGAGTGCAAGTTTATTGTACTATCATTACTAATAAAAAACTGTCTTACATTGTCGTAGATTTGCAACAGAGTTACTGGCAAAAAACTAATTATTATTTGTTTTAAGATTTTGGAAATGGTCCATCCAGTTTTCTAAATGGCCCCTAAATTTTGGATTGGTGGGCCCTTTGACCCCCTGAAAGAAATTTCTGGTCAGAACACTGCAAACAAGGAATAAATAAGTATTGTCTTTAATGAACCAAATTTGCAATAAAAATATCTAATATCTCTATTGAGTGATAACTTTTGTGATATTTTTCCATCTATTTAGAATGTGCTGGGAGCAGAAGGCCTTGGATTCAAGATCGCCATGGGAGCATTTGATAAAACACGTCCTCCAGTAGGTGCTAGCCACCCAATGGAGCCTCTTAGCTTGGGTCCAATGTTTACCCATTTCAGATTACTTGTCATTCTCTTGAGAATAAGATTCTTCATTTGAGTTGTATCTATATTCATGTGTCTTCTCATGCACAGCCATTAAACAAAGAAATGATACCTTTGGGAATGACACATGATCTGAAATGGGTAAACTGTCACATATAAGCTAAAAGAGTATGATCATTCGCCCCCTTGGTTCTGCTCTTGCCATGCATTCTTTCCTGTAGATCATGTGTCTCGTTGCACCAATGATATTCCTTGTTTATGTGTATTAATAGGTGTATATGTCTATCTGTTCAGGTTGCAGCTGGCGCCGTTGGACTGGCTCAGAGAGCTTTAGATGAGGCTACTAAGTATGCCATGGAGAGAAAGACCATGGGAAAGCCTATCTTTCAGGTAACAAATACATGTTTTATAACCCAGAATATATAGATTTTGATGGTGATGTCATGGCTGGTTCATGTTATGATGATGATGATGATTATGGTGGTGATGGCAGTGACAGCGATGTTAATAATGATGACTGCAGTGGTGATGGTGATGATGGTGGTGATGATTGACATTGGTGTTGATGTCAAATTGTAATAATGATGGTGGTGATTGACAACAATGACAAAAATGATGATGACGGCAGTGGTGATGATGGTGTTGGTGTACAAAGTGGTGGTGGCAGTGATGATGGTGATGGTGATGGTGATGATTGACAACAATGACAATAAATATCTTGATGACAGTAGTGGTGATGAGGTTGTTGATATTCAAAGTGGTGGTGGCAATGATGATGGTGATGGTGATGATTGACAACACTGACAACAAATATCTCAATGACAGTAGTGGTGATGAGGTTGTTGATATTCAAAGTGGTGGTGGTGGCAATGATGATGGTGATGGTGATGATTGACAACACTGACAACAAATATCTCGATGACAGTAGTGGTGATGAGGTTGTTGATATTCAGTGATGGTGGCAGTGCTGGTGATAATGATGGTGATTGACAACGCTGACAATGATGATGATGGCAGTGGAAGTGGAAGTGTTGGCGGTGGTAGGGGTTGAGGGTGGTGCTGAGGTGGATGCTGGTAAAATTTCATTATTTCACGTTTGTCCACAGCATCAAGCAGTGTCCTTCATACTGGCAGACATGGCAATAGGTGTAGAAACAGCCAGACTGGCAATGCATAGAGCAGCTTGGGAGATTGATCAAGTGAGTCAAACACATAGTTATGCTTTCTATAAGTCCATTCCCCGTACCTCCTCCAAGTTCTCTTTTCTAGACATTCTAAGGAGCACCTAGATGTTAAGATGCCCTGTTGTAACCTAATCAAGGCACAGAAACCTCAGCTCTAGCCATGTTACAAAGTGCCATAACGGATACAATATAATGTGTTGAGGCCACTAGCTCATGCAACAGTATAGAATTTCTGTTTTCCCGCCGTTTTGTGCAGTGTGAGTCCGCTAACCAGTTAATGTTGCTGTCGCGTTATGTCGTGTGCACGTTGTCATTTGTAGTGTTAGTGTAATGTGATCATCAGCTTCATGTGTTATGTTCTCGTGCAGTGTGTTCATCAWTTGGTAAGTTCTTTGCCATTGCTTGCTTGCAGTATTGTACCATCGTAATGTAATGCTCTTTGTTTTAGGATTTTACTGTGTATCGGATACCTGTGAAACCTTTTGATGAATAAATCAAATTCAGTACATATGAAGTTGAGACATGTGTGTGTTTAACCCTACATAATGCTTGCTGTGATTGGGTAAATTAGCGTGCACAAATGTGCGCCATAGTTGCACTTTTGCGTACGCGAACTCCTCTATGCCTTGTGTGACCCTTTCACCACTTTCGTGATTAGCAGTCTTCAGCTTGCTTCAAATCTCGATAGATGTTTGTCAAAATGTTGATGACCTCTCGATCCTCACAGGGTGGGTACTCCATCTGAGATCACTAATTCAGAGTGTCCTAATCATCTCTTAATGCCTTATGATGAATTGCAGGGTCGTCGTAATACATACTATGCATCTATTGCTAAGTGTCTGGCCGGTGATGTGGCTAATAAATGTGCTACAGATGCAGTCCAGGTAAAAACGAGAAAAACACTCATCCATTCTCTGTATATAGACCCCTTACGCTGAGTCCCGAGAGAAATTGTTCTGCAGGAAATAACAATGGATTTTTTTTTTTTTTTTTTTTTTTTTT